TCACTACTGAAGGTTCAATTCGTATATTCCAATTTATGATAGATCACTGCGCAACACACCTGTGCCAGAACAACGCCACCTGCCGGACGAATAAAGATGACTACACCTGTATTTGCACCCAGGGCTGGTATGGAGAGTATTGCCACAAGCGTGAGTAAATGTGGTCTCAGCCTTTGGTGGTGTACTATGAGCATTGTGATGGGAACACATTGATATCTAGTCAGACTACTAGTAATAGTAATAGAAATGGGTAAAAATACGAAAAGGTGTTTTGACAAACTACTAGCATTCTGAGTTGTAGTAAATTTCAATAAACATATCCCAAGTTCTTTTCGCTTTTACAAGAATGACCAAAACAGTTGAAGTCTAAGCAAGTAAAAGCGAAAATATAATATTATGTTTCATTGTAATTTTTGTGTAGAATCTCTCTCTTATGGCTGTCTTTTTTAAATAGACCACTGTGACGAACACCAGTGTCAACACAACGCCACCTGCCACGCCAATGAAGATGGTTACACCTGTATCTGTACTGGAGGCTGGGAAGGGGAGTACTGTCAAGAATGTCATTCCAGGCTCTGTTTAAAAGATTTTAAAAAAGGTATTGTAACAGCAGCATCATGAGGTAGTTTTATTGCTTTTTGCAAAATTATCATCTATATTATCTGCATTTTTAACACTAGCATCCCTATAAGCTAAACAGTTTCTTTTGTTTTTATTTTGGAAAAAAAATTCTGCAAGAACAACGAAGGGTCCGCCACAGGAAGAAGTTCGGTAGTCCACAGCAGCAGGTAGCTAGGCCTTTTACATTAAATTTAATCTAACACCCATTCTTTATATTACAGTGTGATTTTATTAATGTCTCTTTTATTATGTCAGTTTAATACTGTTTAAAGATGAATCATAACAGTAGTGCAGATACATAGTATTTTGTTTTGCCTTGTTTTTGGTTACTTATGATTTTTGTCTAATTTTAGCTATCATTGCTGTCGGTGCATATTCCAGCAAGGACAGGTGAGTTACCAATATGATCATGCAGGTACCTTAGCTGTACATGGTGGCTTTAATCATATTGCAGAATTGGTTTCTTTCTTATATTCTAACTGAAGTTGCTTTTTTCTGTTTTAAAGGTTCACCAGCAAAAACAAAAGAAAAAGAAGGCGCAATAAATGTGACTGGTAGGTAACGCCGTTCGAATCGCATTCCGATTTGAATATAAAAGTTCAAAACGTAAGAATCTGTGATTTTTCAATTTCTCAAAATGGTCGACCAACAATCGGTATCTAAACTAAAATCCCACAACCTCACACCTTTGCCAAATTATCTAGTTTTTTTTCAATAATTATCATAAGAAGTCAATGTTCGTATTTGCATACGTAACAACGTTCATCGAAATGACGCCAAGTATAAAGTATCCTGACACAGAAGGCTGTGTAGTACTGTACATGAGCTCAATGTCCCCATTCGTTGTGCAAATTAGGTCCTGGCTCAGCATTGCATTGTGTCAAATCTAATCTACTTACACTCCAGACATCAGACGCGAGTGAGATATACTCTAACATGTTCTTTTATTTGAACCTTAGGCATATTTACCCAATGGCAGGACTTAACTGATAGAAGGTTGGGGCTTCGGGAAGGGCAGTTGGAAATAAAAGAGTCCGGAAAGTACTTCATTTACAGCCAGGTATCTATGAAAATAATTCTACAGATGCACCTGACAAAATACGCGTTTATCCCTCCCTCAGTAGTATGTCCAATGTATTTGTGTAAATCCTTTCTAGAGCTAGCAATATCTAACCTCTCTATCTAACCTTGATTCTAAATATGAACGATATATAGGGAACTGACAAGTCTGATCTTTTACAGATTGACTTCGCCTTACAAGATGATGATTCCCCTGTCACATATTCAATCAACAAGTTTAAGGAAGCAAAGTTGACCTGTGTATCACCGATGTTCGGCAGGAAACCCAGACACACCTGTTACACCGCCGGGGTGTTGGATTTAGAGAAGGGAGACAGGCTAGTCCTATCCATACAGTGCCATGCAACATGTTGGGTCTTTACATATTATGATACAACGTTTTGGGGCGCGATTAAACTGTCTACCTAACTAGAATCATTTGTTTTGCACAGCTAGTCATAGTCTTTTGAGACAGAAGGAAAGAGAGAGAGAGAGAGTTTGAGATTACTTTGAAAATATATCTCACATAACGCATTTCTGTATATGGTCATGACACATTTGATGTATATTAGAGGACATGTTTACCCTTTTATCATTCCCTGGCAAATGAGACAGCACTAATAATGTAAAAAAGTGTGCGTACAATTTGTAGTTTGTGAAAATAATAAAGGACCCTTTCCTTTAACGTTGCCTTTCCTCAACGTACATGTGTATCCTTCACTTATTTATCACATAAGAATTTTACTACAATGCTTCCTCGTTGCTCAAACAACCAGCCTTTGCCATCTTAGTTAACTTACCGGCGCTCCAATGCTCCCTCTACCAACTTGGGCTACCAAATAATAACAGCTTAAGAAAGAATCATGGACGCCACTTACTAATGGCCCTGATCATGGCAGGCTTAATCTACCATCTTGTGGTCAGACGTGTTTTGTGTACACAATAGTGTCTCACCTGACAGAACAACTTGATACCTGTGACAGGGATAATTCTGTGGTAACGCTTTCTAACAAAGGAGACAAACCACTGGCGGTTGCCTAAGGCAAACCTGCTGTGACCCGTACATCACCTTTCGTTCTAAGTACTACAGCACCGTGCAGTTTCAGCTCAGCTCAGTGCAGTACAGTGCTGTTTATAAGCCTACAGCCCACACGGTGGTTTAACTGTTATCTTGCATGACAACAATAGACAACAATATGGCTAAACACAACGGTAATGTAGAGTGTGGACACGAGAAGCTGTCTGTGGATAAGAAAGCTCTGCAGATCTTCTTGGCTGGACTTGTTTTCCTGTTAGTTTGTCTGCTTGTGGCGATCGTTCTTGTTTACGTTCAACTGACCGCGGCCATTGCAGACCTGTCACACAGAGTCGAGTCAGGAGAAGGCAGGGGTGCCGAGGGGCAAGGATACAAGGATTTGCAAGACTCCGCCAAGAACCAGGTGACGTTTTAGAATGACATATTGGTTGTACCACAGAGAAGACATAAGAGAAAGGCTGTGCCATTTGAGAGGTGACGTAATAGAAAGTTCTATTCCACATTGTATGGTAAAGTGTAAGATCTTAAGATTTCTAGATCTTCGACTTGTGACTTGCACTCTGTAGCATATACGCAGTACATTTACCTTATACATTCAGCATATGGATGTATAGATATAGCTGTTGTAATGATGTTTTGGCATTGACAATATGTTATGTTGATTCCATTCACAGACTCAGCATTTCATGGGACGGGCTCGCCGAAGTGATTTCAAGGAAAAGACGCCTGGTAACTATCTCTTTTATATCAAATGTATCTCATATGATGTATCTCATATATTATAAAGTTGATCGGCAGAGCATCCTATCTTTTATCGTTCATCCATCTTTCCTTGTATCAATCCGTGCTAGTGAGAGAAACCCCTTTCAAAAGCGAAAGCGATAACGTCTTGTACGGTCTACAGTATTTACAATCTATATTACAGGTGGTTGTGAGTCATACGAGCTGCAGTGCAGGAATAAAAACTGCGTCAACTCTGCTTTTGTGTGCGACAAGGAAGACGACTGTGGAGACGGATCGGATGAAGAAAACTGCGGTAAGTCTTGAACTTGATGTCTACAGACTTTTAAGTCTACAGACTTAAAATTCGTGTCTGTAGACATGAACAGACGACCACCCTTAGAAGACGTTACATTCAGAGATATTTCATGTTCAATCAAAATGCACTCATGCTAGTTATGTTTACCGAAGGAAATGTTGTTTTTGTTCTGTTTCTTCTTCTTCCGTTCCAATCACTGACCTGTTCAATGACCTGGACCTGAACGTCTGTTACCATGGTAACTGGTGTTGGGTTACATGTTGCAATTTTACAGCAGGAGGGATTTAGAGTCCTGTCACTATATATGTGAATGAGTTTGAGTACCAATTAACAGAGCACACCATATGCGAAGGTAAATATTATGCATTTGCTTTCTCGTTTACAATCTAATGCTTGACATGCAGGTATGGATCAGTGTGAGACACATCTGTGCCAAAACAACGCCACCTGTCATACTAGGAGGGATGGGTACACCTGCGTTTGCACTAAAGGCTGGTATGGGAAGTATTGCCAACACAGTGAGTATATATAATCCACCATATAGAGGTAATTTTTCTAGCAAAGTGTAGACATTTAGTATAGTGTAGGTGGATGACATGATACTATCTCTGCTAATTTAACAATTATTGATACTTTGCTGCTAAACACTTTTAACATTTTTCTTTACTGTAGACATATGGCAAAAGATGAGAAGGATACGCCATGGGAAGAATTCGGGAATGGTAATAGTGCAATTTCATCTTCTTTAGCTCACATGAAGTTCAAAGTATGATTTACCCACTTTTCATAATGTAGCTTTCAAAAAATACCATACTAAAACAAGCACATTGTTTTTTTAGGTATCCTTGTTGTCAGTGCACATTCCAGCCAAGACAGGTCAGTTAACGCTACATACCTTGTGTCCTTTCCCCTACTTCCCTCCATTACGTATATAACTCATTGTGACACTGAAATGTTATATTTACGTCACACTTTTGCAACTAACGTACTTTTTCCCCTATTTGAATTCATGAAAGATACGACAGGATCAGCTGGCGCAGTAGAAGTGTCGACCGGTAAGTGGAACCCTTTGTTTAATACTTGAATTTTTAGTAAAATGATGAGGTGATAAAAATAGATGAATACAAACTTATGGCCTAAAGACGTACTCTTCTAAGACAGGCACATTCTTTTTGACCTTAGGTCCGTTTAAACATTGGCGGGACATTCCAGAAGGAAGGTTTGGTCTTAAGGATGGACAGCTAGAGATAAAAGAGTCGGGAAAGTACTTTGTCTACGCACAGGTATGTATACCACTTTCTACGACTTTTTTTAATTTCTAAGGTAGTCTATGATGACATATTAACCTGTAGTAGGGGCTGATAATTTACAACTGAATGTGTTTTACAGATTGACTTCGACAAAGCAGAGAAGAATGACCAGGTCACATATTCCATCAACAAGTTTGAGGACCCACAGTTGACCTGCGTATCAACGATGATCGGCAGTCCCCCAAGGCACACGTGATACACCGCCGGAGTGCTGGACTTGGAGGCGGGAGACAGGCTAGTCGTCTACGTGCAGTGTAAAAAATGCGATATCATAACAGACGAGGACACGACGTTTTGGGGCGCGGTCAAGTTGTCTGCTGACGTTGAAGCTAACTAGGAATAGTCTTCTAGTGACATGAACAAAAGTGCACACTAACATGCAAAGAATCACTACTTCTAGTTTGTTGTGATGACGATATGAGTTAGATACATTGCCGCGGCATTTCTTCGTATGATATAATATCAGAAATATCATATTCTTATCAGCTCTACGGTACTACCAGGTGGCCAATATGTTTATTATCATTACTTACTGAAAATTACAGCAACCGAGAAAATATATCTGAAATGTATTGCATCATTATAATAGAATATTGTTTATATATTGTCGTAAACAGACCATTGAACTTAAAATTGTCTAGATCACATGCCGTCTATTCTGTCATGTATCAATATGTGTTGTATTGTTGTATTTGACAAAATGTATCTTCATGAATATATTGCTTCCCTTAAGAAAAGAAATTCAATAAATAAACTGCTTTACTGTAAAATAGGTTTAAAAACGAGTGTGTGAATTATTGAATTGGGCTTTTATATTGAGGACTATCCATGCAATTACGGCAATCATGTAGTACTACGTTCTGTATATAGTACCAGTTTGTATACACCCCCACCCCTCTCCTTCAGCCAGTACACCACTGATAAGTATCACTTTCCCCGCACTAACAGCCTGTTATTCATGTGCAGTCAACTGTACTCTGTGTACACAATACTGCACACACCTGACAATAGATCTTCTGGAAGAAACCATGATGTCAACAGGTAGGTTGAGATGATGTGTGTCAATCAGTTAAGGCACAAATACGATGCAAATACAACAAATGCATACTTAAAAATTGTTATCAAAAGCAGTAACTATTTTCATATACTTTTTTATGTAGAAATTGAAACACAAAATACCACATTTAACCCACCACAGCAAACATGGATAAATCCAGGGTCACTGATTTCCACCATCAAAGTGTCATGTGATAACAGTGAGACGGCAGATAGAAACCAGAAGGGAGCCTTAAATGCACAGCTTCTTAAGATTGCTCGCGCTACAAGTTGAATAGTTGGTGAAGGACTGTAGCAAGTACACACGTCTGATATGGTACCCTTGTGAGTCTTAGAGGCAGTCTGTCAACACGTACACCAGGACTGGCAAAGGCAGATCTAAACAACAGGTATGTAGTTTACTGAAAATAACATTGTAATCGGTTGTGGAAAACATTAGTTAACATCTAGCTAACAGAAGTCGACGTTTGACAGTAAATGTACACAAATTAAAGTATGCTTGGACAAGGAACGTTGAATCGTCTATAATATGGATATACAGTTTATTTTGTAACGTTGGTCAGGTCGGCCATTTTGGTCGTACTCCATTATTAGTACTTATCAAATAGATATCGTTTGATAAAGAGTAGTATTATTCCCTTCAATAGATGCTGCAAGTCATTGTACATTTTGCAAGTCGTTTGACGTATCTTAAAGTGATCAATATATTCTATAGTATGACCAAAACAATTAAGTGGTGTAACGTTACATAAAAAGAGGAAGTCACATTTTGCACTTAACGTCGCTAATGGCGATGACTCATTGTTGTCCATTTTGGTTTCTATCTTTAGAAACTCAAGACAGCGGGTTTTCCCAGTCTACCTACACAGAAGCCTGGCTTTGTAACACAATTAAGGCAATTGTGAACACTTCAACTCAGCGAACATTGTGTGAAGAAAACGCGTACTACTTGAAAATTTCTCCCGGGTTTGGAAAACAAAATGGCGTCCAGCAACATGGCGTCCGGAAGGTCGATGACATCAGCTCGTTTCTGTGTGTTTCTGGTCACCCTGGTAGTAACAATGGGTGTAGTCAAGACCACTGCAGTTCGCTGTCCCGAAGTCTGCGACTGTACGCCCGATGTGGGCGGACAGGACGTAGCTTGTATCGGGTACAACCTGCAGACTATACCCGAAGGACTACCAGAGGACACCGTGGAGCTGAACATACGCAACAATGATATAGAGATTCTTGACTTGGAAAGTCTTAAGACCCTTTCTCGTCTTGAAGGTTTGGACGTTTCCAGCAACAAGATTAAGACCATACGAGGAACATTTGAAGACTTTCCGAAATTGTCACAAGTTCAGCTTTACGACAATGAGTTGACTACTTTGTCGCCAAGCACGTTCGGCAAGGCTGCCACACGGATGCACTACGTGTCCCTGTTCGACAACCCATGGAACTGTGACTGTAACTTGGTATGGATGAAGAGAGAGATGGACTCTAAGAACTATTCCTTGTCTTCACAACTTGTACAATGTGACACCCCAGAAGAATTACACGGCAACTACACCGCAGACATTGACGTGGACAAATTCGTGTGTAAACAATTTCCAGGTCTGCCACTTCAAACAGTACTGATGTCAGCTATAATACCAAGTGCAGTATTCGTGCTTGCCGTGATAGTGGCTACTGCATTTTACTGCTACAGACGTCGCGATCGTGAAGAACCTCTGCCGGCACCCCACCCTGAGACAGGCCCTGTAGGATCACGGTACGATGACCCATTACTCCCAGGTGACCAGAATATCGATGACATTGAACAGCAAATAGCAAACAACGAGTACGCACAAAATGCTGATAATGATCGCGTTGTACCTGTACCGGATGGCGGGCTAGACTGTGCACCAATTGTTCCTGACAGTAAGTACATGTACTGCATTATTTTTCCCTCTCTTTCTTACTTGAAGAAAAGGAAAAAGAAAATATAATCTGGGCCCAGACAACAGGTTGTTTGGGAATTTTTTAAAAAATCATGATTCAAAGATCATCATTTTGATAAAAAAAAAACTTGTGAATTTTTATGAAGTAATTAGTAATACCATGAATGTCTCTGCTCTCTGCAATTTAGTCAAGACAACACCGACATTCTCCTTCCTGGAATGTGTACCAACAACCAGCACTATCACACTGGAATGGCGTTTCCAACATGGCCGCCAACCAAAGTCCTGCGAGTTGTATGACGGGAAGGTGTGGACAAACAGGACCATTCAACAGGACCATGAAGGACGGTGGAGAACCTTCATCGACAACGTCAAACCGGACACAGAGTTCAGTTTCCAGGTCAGAGGCATCTTTGGTGGACAACAGGGAAGGATCAGTGAACCCATGACACTACAAACCCCTCTTACAGGTATGACTATCTACTAGCTATCTAAAACCATGGAGGTAGAAAAATCTTCCATGCTCAAACAATACCAGAAAAATGCAGAGTATAGCCTTTCGTGTGTACTAAATCTTGTACAATGCAACAGAACTTGATATGTCTTCAATCAATCAATCAAGCCAAAATATGATTAGAATTTACTACGTGAAGCAGAGATAAAGTCCCCAACAATATAGAATGCAGACGTATTTTTTTGCTGACGTTTGCCTGTCTTACCAATTCAGTACTGTTGGTATGCTTGACATGCATGGTGAGATTAAATTCTTCAAGCTGAAATTCATATACATGTAACATACCTACCAGCATACGTAACAGATTTTATACTACCCATTTTCAGACAACTTGCAGAAGGAATGTGAAGAAGGCTGCACAGCCAGACAGTTCCTGAAAGACTTCTGCATTCTGGGCGACAAGACATACGCAAATTGGATGGAAAAACTTTGTAAAACGTTAGAAGGAACATGGGCGCTGACCGGGTGGTTACTGGAACGGGACGCAGAACCAGGCACTTTCAAGTTAGATAACCTCGATTACCAAAAGAAATACTGTAAAAAGCTCATTCTGGTTTTTGGCGAGAGTTCCGACCAAACGATGTATGAAGAACTGAATCTAAAAGCGGCTGTAACAGGATTTCTCATGGACACGAAGCGAGGAGACGAACAACGACTGATACCGATCAAAATGTCGTCAGAAGTGGATCTCCCTGACTACATGTCTCCTCTGGAGGAACTCACGTTTAAAAACAACAAGTACTTCTGGTCTCGACTGATCACAGGTCTGACAGACAAACATGCCTGTGTGTTTGATGATGGGGAAGTGAAGACTCCAAACTCAGTTTCCGTATAGCCTTGTGCCAATACAAGTATGGTATCATGTTGTGATAACATGCACAACCAGTTGACTCAAATGTGAAAATAGAGGAAGTGATGAGAATCTCATGGTATACTCAATACACTGTTATGCACGGTTAGAATCATTCTTGAAGTATGCTTTCATGTCAAACTGTTCGTTTGAAATTGCTTGTACAAATATCATAGTTAGATGTATGATAAACCTTTGTGGTCAAATGTAGACATCTTTTCTCAGAAATGTATGTGTAAACATAGGTCCTGGCTTGTCAAAATGTATTGTTCTATAGGACTGTAGTATTTGGTGTGATATGAGGAAGTGAGAGTTAGGTATTTCAGGGTTTTGTTTGACATTGGTTTGTTTTGTTTTATGTTGAATCAGGCTGAAGTAAACTTCAGGAACGTTGTTAACGCCTCATTAGCCACATACAATAGGATAGATTCTACCTGTGTAAACCTCTGTACTGTAATCTACATACAAGTCGAAAAATACAGACTAAGTCTGATTTCTTTTGATGGAAAATAAAGGAATTGACATACTTTCCATCTCATCAGTGTTCTATGGCTGCTGTAAATGCAGCTACAAGGCTACATGGCTACCTTATAAGGCTACCTCTGGAGACTGTAAGGTCAACTACGCGATTGTTTAGACTAACCTTTACAGTCAGGTACTGCCTATGGCTAAAATAGGAGTGCGTGGTTTGCAGAGATTTTGTACTGGGGCACAGTATTGTTTTGGGTGTTGTTTGTACGCAAAAACCAAGAGAGATGAAAAAAATGAAAATATGCTGGCATATTCTGAAATCATCAGCAAGTACAATGTACTTTTGTCTTTATTCAAATCACAGCTAAATATCTTGGACTTATTTACATAGAACACATTAAAGTCAAAACATGCTTCTTAAAAGCCACAAATTCAAAACTTGCACATTAAAAATAGATGTCAAGGAATAAATATTGTATACATTGAGGTATCATATAACCCTATTGCAGCATCAATTACATTGATTCATAGGGTAGGTGAAGTATTGTTGTTTTGTTCACAAGATGAGTCATCAAGTGGAAAGTTTTTGTGATCACACAAACTCTGGATGCTTGTTCCACCTCAGTTCATACTTGCTCCCTAGCCTAATTCTTCTCTTCTGGTACAACATGGCCGTTAGAACTAACAGTAGTATCGTCACAAGCCCGGTAATGCACCCGAACACCACGGCGACTTTGTACGCTATCGGAAAGGCGGTCGGTTCTCCCGGCGTCACGATGACGTCCTCGCCGTTAGGACTGACCGCGCGACCGGAGCACACGAAGGAAGCCGGCGGGACGTCGGACAGACTTCGCCCGGCGAGCTCAGCCGGCGTGGCGCACTCCACGTGCCTGTCCCCGAACGTTTTGGACCCTTCCGCTAGTTTCTCAGCCAACCAGGCCATGCGACAGTCACAGCCCCAAGGGTTGTTCGCCAAGTAGACGAAGAAACGCCGTCCCTGACTCTTAGCTGAAGATATCGGGAAGTCGAAAAGCTTCGGAGACACGCTTGTCAATTTGTTCATTGACAGGTCAAGATCATCAAGATGTCCTTGATGTCTTAGCGCTGCTGAGGAAATGTGGTTGATCTTATTGTTGCTCAAGTCGATTCCTTGTAGGTTCCTGAGTCCCTTGAAGCTGTAGGAGTTGACTTTAGTGATGTTGTTGTCTTTAAGGATGAGGTAGACGGCACGACGAGGAATGTCCTCGGGGATTTCAGTGAGTCCCAGCCCGCCACAGGCCACGACCATCTCCCCGTACAAAGACACCGTACACTTACAGGCAGACGGGCAGGCGCGCACAGTAACAGCCGTCAGGGCCATCGACAGGAAGAAAATCTCTCGTAGTACCATGGCTGGCGTTTTGTTGGTGATTTCAATGTTTGATCTGCGTGGAAGTGAAACAAGTTTAAGAATACCTTTAAGTTTGTGCTTATCATTACAGAGTGGGGAGGGGGGCTTTCTTAGGTATTATATAGGTCTTGTGTCAACTAGCCTTTATATTTGAGACTTGACTGAAAAAGTTCCGTAGAAAAAAGTTGAACGATACCTTGGACAATACAACATAACGGCATGGTTTCGTCAGTTTGCAGAAGTTTTCTTTTCCTAAGAAAGTACTATTTTGGTCCTATGACCTGTTCCATGTGTCCTTCTTTCACTGACCATTTAAACTTCATTTTTCTATGAGTAAGAGGGATAAATTCCTTAACTCATACCAGCTATCAAGAAGAAACGATGGAGTTAGAAGTTTGATACAAATGCTAAGCTAACCAACATGTCATAGATATGCTTAAAAGTGACCACGTGCACCAAGTCCTTTAATTCCCCCCCCCCCCAAATACCTTAACGTTTAAAGGCTCTTTCCTACATGAATTAAGGCTTCGCTAGTAGTTAAAAACCTAACCGAATAAGTCACGCTGTCCTACCTTTTTATCTGTTGAAAATCCGTTAGATTTCTTATTATTCAGTAGTGGTGAATTTTTCCTGCCCACACATGCGCTGCTTCTGCTTCTAATGCTAGCTTCCCTACGAGCACATGGTCCTTTATACCTGCCTCAAATATTTACCTGTTGCCAGGTAGGATAGAGTTACATCCCGAACAATGGGGTTTCCCGCGCGGAAAAGTACGGATCATGGTTGCGTCATGCTCTACATTGTAATACGGCGTGGTAGTCCATACCATTTGCTAGTCACGGTGACAACACAACATGATAAATCTAGTCTAGTCATAATGATAATCTAGTAAAAGTATTTCGATGTTTCTGGCTTATATTATCCTTGAATTATTTTGAGATAGCAGAAACGTGGGCTTGGGGAAAGCCCTGATCTTTTGCTCTATATATCGATCTTAGAATCTGTAGGCTCTGGAACCCATGATACCCAAAACTATCCCAGTTTCGTATACGGGGACCGTCCAGAAATGCGGATTAAATTATTCATGCTCCATGCTGTTATTGCTCTTTTAATTAGTGTATAGTGTTCCAGTTCAGATTAGTTTACAGTACACTGAATTTTAGTGTTTCAGGGTGCATCATTTTCATTGAAAATTATCATTTTTGTGAGAGAAATGGAGTAAAGATTCATTTGATAAATTAAATGTAAACGTCTTCCGACAAGGTCAAATGAGCAGTATCTCTCACTATATTTTAGTTTAGAGTAGTTGACACATAGAGCCTGCCAATACTTTGCCACCAGCATTGCGCTGTATCCATACAGCAGCTGCACCACGTCATAGACAGCATTGGTAGACAGTAAACAGCACGTCCATTGTTAGCGTCGCTAAGATGGTATCAGATGTTTCACCTGTCTTTTATGAGCGATGACCTGTGAAGGTCAGAGGTAACGAGTCATGTGAGGATCACAGGGTGACATGTCGTAATATACTATGTAACATTTAACTGCGAAAACAGTTAGTGCTTGGCGCGTGCAATCTAAACTGTTGATCGTGTTTTAGTGCTGTTTTGCGTTGGTGACAAGTCACGGTGAGTTAAAACTACCCTTTGTAGGAAAAATAGTGCAGCGGTTTTAAGTTTATCGTCACCTATCGTTGACGTAACCTGGACGCGTGTTAACGGTCATAATTGTATTCTATGGATTCTATAGGACAGTTTCCAAGCAAATCTGATCTATTCATGTTTAAATGTAATAGACATGGCAAACTGCACATGTATGATGACAATGAAAAACGTAACAAAACATACTTGTAATGATCACTAGTGCTGACTGATTGTTCCGTATTTGCCAAGTGTACATGTACTCTTAATACCTTTGATATGTGTGGATTCTGTACCGAAAATGCCCTGGGATTAAGTAAAATTGCTTGTGAAAGAAAAGATTTTCTATACTCACTTGAAGACATTTGAGTAGTCTTGTGTTTTCCATTACGTCATTTTCGTTAATTGGGCCGGGGGGTTCCCCTTCGAATTAAGGGTTCATTAGATACACCAAAAGGAGCCTTTGAAATCAACTACAAACGAACACAATGCCATACATACAGATATGTATTACGTGTGTCCTAAATAGTCTTCAATAATCTATTTCTTTATACGTTTTGTACTAGAAACAGGAACAGTAAATAGGAACCGGTTTAGTGCCGCCATTTTGGATACAAAATGATTTCGTAACCTTCTTCGTAGCGTCTTCCTCGACATATGGTGTATAATGAGCAACTTGCATGGGTTTTAATGAATATCATCTTTATTGATGAACACTGAATGAAACAGTGAAACTTGTTTTTTAATCATACGGTATATCATAAGACATGACATGCAGTTCTCCATTCTCTATTATTCAGAATAGTAGATAATATTGACTCACCAGGTCTAATATAGGCAAGTGTCTAATATAGGCAAGTCCAGGCAAGTTCAAGCCTATAACAATTTGGGACTTATTCTGCAGATACATACTGAGGACGACGCATACCAGCCCACACAATGGTAGGGCTCGCATTGGTGCTCATCCTATCGTCACTAGCAGTTCGGACTTGGTGCAGTAACGACTGCGCGCCTTGCGCGTGTCAGCCTGACGTCCAGGGGACCGTTGACGTGGACTGCAGCGGGCTGGGTCTCACCGAGCTCCCGCACAACATTCCCAACAACACGGCCTACCTCGGCTTCAAGTACAACAACCTCACAACGCTAGACCTGGACGTACTTTGCAAGCTGAGACTCTTAGAAGGTGTAGACTTGTCAAAGAATAAAATATCCTCAATACATGGCTCTTTTAGCTGCTTCGAATATCTATCCCTAGACCTGTCGAATAATTCCTTGGAAACTCTTGACAGAAAGACATTCGGGTTTTCCTTGAGGTGGCTTAAACAGGCCTTCTTGTTTAACAACCCGTGGAAATGTGACTGCCATTTGCTATGGTTAAAGTTAGACATACACAGATACAAGAACAAGATTCCATCCAAGGATGTTAGATGCCAAAGCCCGTCAGGGTTGGAAGGGAAACTGTTGAAGGACGTCAAACCAGAGGACTTCGTCTGCCCTTTCCCATTTTGGGCTGAGGTCTTAATCGGTGTTGCCTGTGTGGTACTTTTTGTCGGCGTAGGAGTTACGCTAGGTTGTTGGTGGAGAAGAAAACAGAAGAAAAGGAAACGAAAACCAACATTCTGCAAGGACGGGTGTGTACCAACAGCTACATCTCTGATACTAGAGTGGAAGTTTGCAGAAGGTTACAATCCGGCGACATGCCTGGTACACATCACAGGTGGTGTCGTGGAGACACTGACCGTGCCAAGAGACCAGTGCGTGGACGGGACGTGGACACTACAAGTTTCAGAGGGCATCACGTGTAATACGGAGTACAACGTGCGTGTGACTGGAGGCACCGAGACAGACCTGGGACCTTCCAGTGACACCATCTGTCTGGTGACCGTCGGTCCAGGTAGGACATACTTTACTATGATCGTGGGGGAGGGGGGCACGTAATTACAAAAGAATTTTCTCAGTATTTTTCATTCACTGAAGCTAGTTTATTAAAGTTAGTCATCAAAGAATGAATAATGATAGTTTCCTAAATATTCAACCTTTACAAATGGACGACAAGTCTGCAATTTGATTTGTCCAGTGGTGAATGTATGTATGCACTGTCACCATAATTCAGTCTTCGGACTGCAAGTGTGACATATGTGAGGGAAATTTCAAATAAATCATTCTTATAGGAAGTTTGAATTTTAAAATGAATATTGTACATGCACATGTTCCTTTACCTATGCCTTGTAATGCATAAAGACTATTCCTGCAAATGAACTATAGGCATAGCTACAGCATAAAAGATTAGCAAAATTTTATTTAATATGTCGAGTCAGAAATATCGACGTCCCTAAACGCCACTTTACATCACACCTAGGAGGACGACGTGAAGACAGTACAGAGTACGTAAAAGACTTCTGGATCATAGGCCACCAGGATGACCGGAGTCGGATAGAAAAACTCTGCAAAGCTCTTGAGAAACATCACGAGCTGACTGGTGGGACGGACTACAGGGACAGTGAAGGCGGAGACAGTGTGTTCGATAGCTTAGACAATGCTATCTCCACCTCGAAGATAATCATTGTTGTCCTAAGCAATAACACCAAAGGAGGGTGGGTCAAATACAAGATACAAACTGTCCGGCACTGTCTCATGGACACCAATGAGGAAGAACAGCAAACAAGCCGACGACTTATACCAGTCAGACTCACACGATGTGGAAAACCTCACTGTTTGCAGACTCTAGAAACGTTAGATGTATGGGACAAATCATCCTCCTTCGCAGGGCTAAAATCCTCCGGTTCCCTTCCGGTTTTAGCCCTGCTATTTACCGCTGACAGTTTGACTTCTGGTGACGTCACCGCCAAACTGCTGTCAGCCAATCAGAGAATATTTGCGCACCGAGCTTTGCGCAAAAACCGCAAAGGTCGCTGGGAACCTATTAGCCAATCAGGTTACATGTTGGGACAGGCCAAGATGGCGGCTATTACAGATACTAGAAGTTTCGTGCGAGCCGTGCAAGATTTATTTGGAGTCGAGCGGCTTCGTGAGCATCAGCAGTCGATGCTACGGGCGCTGCTTGATGGCAGAGACGTTTTTCTGAGTGTGCGGACAGGAGGAGGGAAGAGCCTGTGCTATATGGGCTTCCCAGCAGCGGCCAAAGCCCTGGCCAAAGCCGAGACAGAGTTAGGGCAAGCCCCCCGACATCTGATTGGTTTGTGCCAAATAAGGCAAGCTCATGAATTATTTATAAGTGACGTCACCAGAAGTCAAACTGTCAGCGGTAAATAGCAGGGCTAAAACCGGAAGGGAACCGGAGGATTTTAGCCCTGCGAAGGAGAATGGGGACAAATACTTTTGGAGAAAACTGCTGGCTACTTTCAACAAGGGCAGCTGCAATGAAGACGACAGAACGACCGAAACTGCACCACTGGTTCAGAACAATGGGCCACATGTCGTCTGATATTTTTGCATGACGAAATCGAAAGTGAAAGGTGTGTCTGTTCTGTAGACAGACAATGGTCTGCATTATTTAGTCATGTCAATGGAATGTAGCTGTACGAAAGTGAAAGCTATTTCTTAAAGATTTCTGTGGTGCTGCTTATGTTATTCGGGAAATTGTTGCATTTCTGTGTACAATATTGTGAATGGTTCCGGAATGTTGCTAAAATTACATGTTGCCTTAAATGTTGACAATGGTTTAGAAATTAATTCCACCATGTTATCAGATAGAAACGCATGCTATTATACTGTTGTTGATGACATAGCGAAGATATATGCATATTTCTAATTTTATTAGGCAAGCATGCAATATGTGTACATAACTAAGCTTTAAGCAAGTCATTCATACCCACCTATTATATTATGCAATATGCATTACATCCTTCTTAACATAGGCACATGCCATGTGTAGTTAATCCTTATACCTTCTGCCCATAAATATAAGTTTATATAGAATATAAAGCAACTTATACTAACTTTGACACAGCATCACCACTACACTACATCACAAATCAAAGGCACATTCAACGCTCCTTATTCCTTATTAATAATTATAAGTAGCTGGTCCCATCTAATCACTAGGCTAAGCATGTATTACACTAAAATATCTCTTTACCAACAATGTATAAGTCTACATAATTTATCAACACACACAGCAAATATTACTTGAGCTAACCTTTGGTCTATAGTGGCAGTGTCTTTCACATGGTATATTTTGATGTACAAGTACCCAACTGTGTTTGAGAAGATCCTACCTGCCAAACTGCTATATAATCCTATTCTTACGGCCCTTGCAAATTATTGACTAATTTTACCTTTCACACAGCTCAGTATATTATTATATACGCAACCAACTCTAGCCTGAAGCAACTTTACATGTAAACCTCTCTGGTATCTGTAAGGATCATTGGCCTTGTCTCAATCTCTGACCCTGTGTCCTGTCTACCTGTGGTATACTCCCTACCAATTCTAACCATTATAAACAACACTGCTAAGACCGCAAACGCTACCACGCAAATCGTGGTGATGGTAGCCCCCTTAGACAGGGGTTTCAAACTTCCCGTTTTAACCCGTGGGTCGGTTTTTGGAGTGGTGGCGTCGTTTCCTTGTTCTGACTCCACGAATGTGACTTCTGGGTCACATTTGAAGTCGGACAGGGGCACGTCTGATACGTAAGACCCGTTCAGATTTGCGGGGCTGTCACAGCTGACAAGCCGCTCGCTGTAGACGATTGTATCGTTGGCGTATTTTTCGGCCAACCATTTCAGGTGGCAGTCACAGCGCCAGGGGTTGTTGGCCAGGAAAACGAAGAACCGTCTCCCGTCTTGCTTCGCCGCAGCAAGAGGGGCTGCGAAAGTCTCTTCAGATAAAGTCTGTAAGGCATTGTCTGAAAGGTCGATGTTGTCCAAGTGAACAAGATGACGGAGTGCCCCACGCGATATTTTCTTGATCTTGTTATGGCTCAGGTCGATCCCTTTCAGTTGTTTCAGACCCTTGAAGTCGTGGCTGCCGATTTTTGCCAAGTTGTTGTACTTGAGGACAAGCCAGATGGTTGATGTCGGGATGTCTGTTGGGATTTGGCTGAGACCTTCGCCACCACAGGTAACAGTCATCTCACCGTGAGAGTCGACACAGTCACATAGTTTCGGGCATTGTGGATTGTCGACTTGGGCGAATAGCGGATCCGGAACCAAAAGCAATATGAAAACAAGGAACACTTTCCTCTCCCCCATGTTGTTGGATATGCTGCTCAGTGTGGATTTCTACTCCTAAAAGTTTAAAGAAAAGAACATTGCAGTTAGTTGAGCAATTTGTTTAGAATATTGTACATTATCATCAAATCATAGTGTGGAAATGCATCAGCTTACCACAGTTTCCTGCTTCGTCTGACCGAAACTCAGCCGTCCTTAAAGCTTAAGGAAGTGATACACAACCGTACCGTAAAGAGACTGTAGCTATAAAACTATTTTAAACGTTTTACGTTTCACGATCGGGACATATCATTCTGCTGAGCCATTTCCAGCCAGGAGAATATGAGAAGTACTTTTCAGTGGAAAACAGATCGATAACAACAGGACACAGCCTGTGTGTGTGTCGACGTGGCAGACTACCTACAAACATACCCTTTTACACCAGATTATGCCTGAATAGAAGCTGTTACAGATATAATCCTTAGTTGTCACATTTTGGTAAATTGATTTTTATCAATATCACCCCTACACTATTTAATTGGTAAATGTTGAGAACTGGAAAATATCGGAAACCGTTAACAATGACCAAAAGTGTGTCTACCACTTAAATCAATAAGTACCCCATATTTGGTAGTGTATACATGTGAAGTAAGCCACGTTTGTTTGTCACTATATGATAGATTGATAAACACGCTTGTTTGATACATTCAGCGCTTGAATAGCTATTCAATCGGAACGTATTCTTTGAAAGCCTATTCTTTTTTTTGCAATGATATCTAACACTAACCGTTCATCGCTCAACTTGTTGACAGCCTGTGCAATTAAACAGTGGCCTTGGATGTGGAATTCGAGGGAGCCTCAGTGTACAATATCGTGAAAGGGTCATAAATATATCTATGTTCCTATGTCAGGTTGTCTGCAGAGATTAGGTTAAACTTAGAATATAGTGACTACAAAATCATAACATTTAGACACTATAGAGTCGAGGAGTAATGCTACAATATGTCCACATTTCGCTGGGAACCAGTTTGGCCAAGTGAACAACGCCCAGTACTCTAATTAACCGTAAATCCTATAATAGCAGACAACCTGTTGCTGGCATATTCTTACAGTGTACATGTACGTGACAGTTGAATCTGTTATACGTTCTACATAACCTACTCGCCTCGCTATCCCTATGTTTGTAGGGTTCAACAATACAATCCTTAAAGTAGCCTTTTTCTTTACATCAGGCCACTAAAACGCTCAAGATTGTGTTGTGTAACCCGTAAATGTACTTACATGCAGACTGTACTCCTTACCTCTCCCTGTCTATTTACCCCAGCTTTGCCACGTTTCCCTTGAAAATACTGAGAACTAAGGCTTAAGGACGGTACCAAGAACGAAACAAGAAACCACCGCGCCTGATATGTACACGTAAGCCGGAAGAACATTGCCGTTCTATCTTGCTACTGCAATTACAATAAGTGCCTTAAGAAGTTTGTTTAAAACTTAGCTGGATATAGGTGTGAAAATATAATATAACTACATGCAGAGTACCAAGTAGAATTTACTAACGTTGAAAAATACTTCCGGTGTCACTCATTTGGAACCCCATAATCCGAAGGATTCAGTGTAACGTATATACGTCAGTATACGGCGATGCCCTCCGGTGTAACACTTACACACGCCCTAAATGTTACACACTGCTAGCTTTACAGTGGTTAGACCTGTTCTGTGTTCTATTCATTCACCCAAAAGCTAATAAGCTACTAGAAGATGATCTTGTCAATTTAATGTCATTCAAGATTGCCGGCGGCAAAGCATGGCGGGATTGACCATTGTTGTTGTTACCGGACGTCCCCTAGCTACAGCCTAGAAACCAAGATGGCAGCGTCGATACACAACCAATTCAGTAAATCGTTACATATCTTCTATTTTAGCTTGTGCCCTTTTGTATCTGTATCTTTTCCTTTTTTTCTACTAAAAACTTGCCTGAAGCTGTAATGTGTCGCCCTTATGATTATATAAGAATGGAATAGCCCAGCTAGCTAGCTGTATTGACCCATGACCCGCTCCAGAAATGGCGGTCCAAGTCACTGGTAATGTTCAAAACAAAGGACGGTATCTCAAAGTCAAACCGTGAGACCTAAACACTGTATCCTAAGGGTCGATTAGTGCTACGATTTACAGTCGGTTTGGGGCGCTAGAAAGATTAAAATGTACTTTGAAGTCGAAGTTAGTACGAGTAATTTGTGCCTATATCGCCCATTCATACCTTAAGGCATACCTTAAGATGACCTGTATTGCGGTAACATAGTACACCACATGCCGTACATTTCGGCGGCCCACGCGTCTACATCCACCCACACTATTATACCTTTCAGTCTCAGTACTACAGGCAGAACACTAGCATAATGTTTATAACATGGGTAATCTTAAACGGATGCTAAAATCTACCCTGTTTTGTTGCCAATAATAAACCTAGGCTCAGTTAAAATTTATTAAGCATGTTACAGAACACGACTCCCATATCAATCCTATAAACCGAGCACTCTTACATGTAGTCTAGACTTACTTCTATTCACCAAAAACATCTAGTAAAGTGAAAGCCTACCTAATTTTGCGACAGGATTCGACAATGGAGCTGGTCATTCTGACCAAGTTCAACTCGGTGCTTGGCTACCCGGTGTGAGTCATTTTATGAACAAAAGATTGTCGTTGTCTTTTGCCGCCTTTTTTTGTCAGGCGATGGCTGCTGTCCAATAGCAACTCCCTAACTACATGGTGCATGCGCATTCGTAAAGGCGCCCGATTGTTTACTGAAACTGCAAAACAGAATTGGCATTATATTACAATGCAAATACACTTCACCTTCACACTGTGTCAACAAATACATGATAAATGATAACCAATGAACTACCATGTTTTAGCGACTGACTGTTTCCAAACAACCCGCATGGCTGCCCCCAAATTCAACAGTGATGGATACGTTATAGTTTATATAAGGTCCAATATCATGACAAAGATATGTGCCGTTCAGACATTTGGTCTCCGTTGAGAGGGAGACAGTCTGTTGACTAAATGCATCAATAATTACTTAGACAAATGTTAGATAGACACCGTTATCAAGCTCTGATGGCACGACGCGAAACAATACATGTTCGTCGGCGGTCCATAACGATACACTAAATCTTTAGTGATCAAGGAAAGAAAAAACTTGAAGGCGAAAAACACGGTTAAGATTGTATATATATATATATATATATATATATATATATATATATATATATATATATATATATATGATACTAGAACATCGTGACTTTGTTTATTTTTCATTTCATCAACACTACATAAAAAGCAAATGTAGTAAGCTATATTATGTTTCCCGTCATCTCATTTATCAGTAACAAATATGCCAGATGACGTAAGTAGAAAAGTGAATCTGTTCCTTGCCCACAGTATAGCCAGCTGCAGGGCATCAAAACTGACGTGCACATCTCTATACCAATGGGCAGCTCATATATGACATATGTATACATATGTAGCTTCGCAACAACACGCCATACTTAAAATATAGCACAATATACCAAGGATATAAAATAAATTCACATACCATGCGCGATAATTTGGTACAGCTTAAAGCGATGCTAGAGGCAGACTTTCGTAGATAGCAGTTGGTACTAGCCCGAACGAAAAATCTATAATGGCGTTCGTGGCAATATAATTCTGCTTTTGTAGTTCAACAGAAAACATTGACGTCAGCATTGGGTATGGTATCGGCTTTGACGCACTCAGCGCTAATATGCCATTTATTCGATGTGTGTAAACAGCTTTCCCGTTAGCTCACGCAAATCACACGTTAATCACATGGAAGTCAACACAAGCTTGCATGGACAATGAACGCCCAACTTAGTCTATAATATTACAAAAAATGTGTAAGAGATTGCATATTTTAGGTACGCATTTTTTTTTACCTCACATACTAGATTAGGTAAGGTAAGGAAAGGTCACATACTAGATTATTGTGGCTGAAGTATCATTTCAGGTTCTCAACAACGACAGTAGAATACTTGATAAAGGAAACAACATAATAATTCCTAATACTTGTATATTTTTACTTACTGTATAATGTACATAGAAATTACAAACACAGGGAATCGACTGAGGCTAATGGAGGCATAAACAGAGTCTAATCCATAAATATGAAAACACACATTTTCTTGCATCATTCCCTCTTTTACTTCTTTACTTGAGGGACGGACATCCAGCATATCTGTACAACATCACGATACACTCCACCTCGATGGATGAACATTTTTTTTAGTTTTACTACTGGGGGGCCGGTCTGTAGCCTCTTTCCATCTGTCCTAGAATGGCCTGCCTGACTCTATCGTGAAGTGTTGCCAGGATCCCCATATCCTCCTCCATAGCTTCAGAAGTTACCAATGCGACAATACCAGCAATACCCATCACAGGAGCAAGTATTGGCCCAACAGCTGGGATGAAGAATGCAACAGGAGCAGAAAGTGGCAGGACAATTCCTATAACTTTTAAGAACACCTTTGTACCGTCATAAAATGTTTTCCTCCATCCCTTCCTTTCCCATAATACATCGGCCTCGCCGCCTTCGTCTCTAGCGTTGAAGGCTACCTGGTTGCAACGGTCACCCGCGTAAAAGACCCATGTTTCTGTTCCGTACACCTCAAGCTGTAGGTTAGTCCGTACCCACGCATGCTGTTTGACAAGCCATGAACTGGCTGTCCTCAACAGGGCTGCATCCGCTGAAGTGGCAAACTCAGGGCCTCTTTCCCTTATTTGCCTGTATATGGCATCAGGGCTGACACTGCGCTGACATGGTACCACAAAATCGGCCTCCTTGCATAAAAAAAGGTACATTAATGAAAAATAAACGAATATAGATGGTCCTCAGTAGAATATCAGTCATAAAGTACCAATATCTAATATCAATATATCCATTATTGAGAAATTGAAGCATGGAGGTAGATCTATATGTATGTGCAAACAATGTTATATGTATTGCTACATGTATATAGACACAAACATGCATGCACATATATATATACTCGTATATATATATATGTATACATATATATATATATCACGGTGAGTTCCGTGCACACAGGTTTATCCAAGAATCAATCGGTATCTGTCGATAGATTTGTTTTGATTAAGGAACACAAAAGCCATTTGACAATATTTCAGGAGCAGCTAACCAGCAAATTAAACAAAATAATCGGTTATCATCACCATTGAATTGTTGAAAAGGGCACGGAAAACGTTTGTTGGACTAAAGAATGAATCTATATTTCAGTTTAATCCATGATAACAACTTACAGGAATGTTTTCTAGCTGTTGTGCCATGTCAAAACAAGGGTCCAGCTACCGTGACAACAAACTGGCACTGTGACCCTACATGTAGATGCAAGGAAAAAAGATTGGTCAGCAATAAATGCACGTTCCTGCATAGACAATGGATATTACGGCCCTGTTTGGATGATATTGATACATACATACATACATACATACATACGAGCCGAACGAAGCAAATATGACTTACTAAATATGAATCCATACCTAACATACTGTACAACGCTAATCGCCCAAGAGAAAAGTCCGGGTGAAGACAAAGGCAAGTGGGTCATGCCAATATTTACGATTTATACCTAGCACTAACGGTAACCCAAGCAAATCACGAAACCTTTCACTCTCTTGAATAAGCTTGAATATACAAAATGCGAACTGAAGTGCGTATACCTGTTTGGAATATGTCGAATCGGAAAGATTTAAATAAATGTGGGTAGGAGGCAGAAGTGGGGGTTACCAACCACGTGATTCGACCCGACCTGACGTCGTCATCCACCGCATGAATGTAGTTCACAGTCAATATGCATGTAAACACGATCATCAAGCGCGTTTTTATTTTTGTACAAACAAGACAGCTTTTAATTTCATACAGATCTAATTCAGAATCGCGATCTGCGCAAAAGATGACCAAATCAACGACTAGTGAAAGTTGGGCGTAGTGATTGCATTGCTTATACATCCATACGGTGATGCGGTTTTACATGACTCACCTCGGGACGTCCCATATGGGTTTTTTTCATGAGTCACCTCGGGACTTTTAGCTATTTCCATGGCTCATGTCAGGTGTGTACTTTATTTTCTATAGCTGTGTCCATAAAGGTTGTTGTTGTTAAACGGCTCAGTCTATTTTAAATTTACAGTTCTACAGACGGTGAACGGCCACTGGTTCTAAGCAGTACAGGCACCGAGAAGGTACTTGACTGTCTATTTGTGTGTATGTATGCCATTATTTAGCTGTACTGTTTAACAGGTACAGCCAGTTCGCATGTACACGGGGGCGATATGGCATGTACAAATGTACATGTTTGAGTCTCCAAGCAGAAGTTGGAGAGGCTAGACGTTACCTAGTTGTCCTTGTATGTGTCAAAGGAGGAAGTAACGATTTAACACCCCCAAAATCTGCCTGCTTAATTTCAAGCTGTGACCGAAAACGAGACCACTTGTGACAAAATAACAGGATTAGTATCAGTTGCTTTGTACTGTACAAATTCGTGGACTGATACTATTTGAGGATAAAGTATGTTTCCCAAGTTTATGCTGTTTCTGTAACAGCACAAACGGTCCAACCATTAGGGGGCTAGGAAAGGGACTTTTTGGCGACGCGTCAGGGGCGAGCCAAATGATATAACTTGAAGTCAGTGTTCAGGAATTCTACAAATTTGTCTCTTGTTTTCCACGAATGCCTAGCGTACATCTGTTTATGTATGTCTTCGAAAGCAGGTTGTCCCTAATGCAGGCCTCGGGGGTACTGTGGATGACCAAGGCTTTCTTTTCACACGACACTTTATATTGCATATATTAGATACACTGACAGAAAGCATCATGGGTCAGATGATTGGCTCTCACAATGTGCCAACTGAAGATCAACAGATCCAGGATGAGGAGTACTGGGGATATGATGTAAAGGTATGTAAACTGTTGTCATAGAGCCTGGAGATATTTACCTTCGCCAAGAAGGTTATGTTTTCAGGGACGTTCGTGTATGTGTGTGTGTGTGTGTCTGTCAACACGATAACTTGAGAAGGTCTTGATGGATTGTCTTGATACTTGGTAGGTGGGTAGGTCTTGATGAGACCTCAAAATGATTAGATTTTGGGCCACCTGGCGGCTTGTCATGGTACTGAAGCAGAACTTCCGGTTTTGATATCTCATGATCCAGACATGCTAGGGTAACGAAATTTAGATGGTAGATAGCTCTTGTGCTGGGGATAAAGTGACATGAGTTTGAGCCCCCTAGGTGCTTGCTCTAGAACTGCAGGGGGGTTTAATGGACAAATGTTTAAAGGGGGATAACTCAAGAACCGATTGATGGATCATCGTGATTTTTGGTATGTAGGTAGCTTGAGTGATGCTTGACATAATGATATTACAATTATGCAAATATGGATGTAATTTGCATAATTAATGAGGAAATTCTATTTATCAGCTGCATTCCATAATAGGAAGTTCAAGCTTGTGACATATGTTATTAAGAATGAGAGAAACACAGGCAGATATCGATTATGCAAATGAAGACTTAATTTGCATAATTATCATGAAAGTTCATCTGTGTTGGTAGTTACATGTTTAAAGTTAAAACTTTTGATCCAACACGAAAATTCTCTCACCTAGAGCTTTCAACCAGTCACTCTGGTCTTCCTCAGTAGACTGACCCAGTGAAGCTTGTCACATGGCTTCTTTGAAGTGTGACGTCAACAATGGGTCAAAGGTATCTGGTAGACGATGTCGGCCCCCGTCGCGGTTCAATGTAGGGTGATGGGCCCTGATGTAAATGGCTTCCTTCACCCCTCTCAAGAAATAGTCTTGTTCAGTGTCTAAAATCCTTACAGTGTCAAGTGAGACATGGTGTCCGGGTGACTCTATGTGAATCTGCCCAAAACCTCCTAACACCAAACCCTCAGCAGGAACAAAGTCCAAGGGGTTGGTGGTCCTGCCATACCTCAAGGACTTGTCTGAAGCTCTCAGGAGGATTTTCATTTCCCACGGGATTGCAACCTGTTTCAAACCAACCACTACTTTAAGACACATTCTTGTTGCGCCCAAGGATAAAACCCCCAAAGAGAAGAAGTGTGGTGTCATCTACCACATCCCCTGCCAGGGCAAGAACAACAGGGGGCCCTGCCAGGAAACTTATATTGGTGAAACGGAGAGGTCTCTAAAAGCCAGGTTTCAGGAACATACACGGCCTAGTTCTGCCAGTTCAGAGGTGTCTCAACACATTCACATAGAGTCACCCGGACACCATGTCTCACTTGACACTGTAAGGTTTTTAGACACTGAACAAGACTATTTCTTGAGAGGGGTGAAGGAAGCCATTTACATCAGGGCCCATCACCCTACATTGAACCGCGACAGGGGCCGACATCGTCTACCAGATACCTTTGACCCATTGTTGACGTCACACTTCAAAGAAGCCACGTGACAAGCTTCACTGGGTCAGTCTACTGAGGAAGACCAGAGTGACTTGTTGAAAGCTCTAGGTGAGAGAATTTTCGTGTTGGATCAAAAGTTTTAACTTTAAACAAATTTGCACAATTAATGAGAAAATATTATAATTGCATAGTGGTAACTGCCTGGAATTTTATACTTGGGGTGTTTGAAAGTTAAGTTAAGGTGAACATAATTAAACATAACTTATTCAAATAAGGACCTCATTTGCATAATTTATGAGAAAATTTCATCATGGCATTCTTTGTTAAGATAAGACTGTCTTTTGGTGGAGAATATGATCAACAGATATAATTCATGCAATTGAGGATCCTATTTGCATAATTAGGGGGATTAATAGATCATGGAACTCTAGTTCTACATACAATTGTATTTTCATAACTGCGCTTCTGGCCGAAACAAGGGCAAGATGCAGTCTTAAGGTTTCAAAAGCTGAAAGGCAAATGAACGGTTCAACCATGCACATGTAACCTTTTTTTCCAGACTGTTGAAGAGATCACCAAACCAAAACTTGGAAAGCTGATCATCGATTACTGTGGAAACGAAGGGATAATCGACGATGAACGAACAGGCAGCATACGTAAGCTGCTGCAGCGGGCAATCACTAACCTGGAACCCCTGCAAGAGCAGTACCCAGGGGTATGGAGGGACGCAGAACTGAAGATATTTGACCTGTATGGGAATGGTTATGTGGTAAAGTCTGGGGAAGGTTCTGTCAAGTTTGTAGCTCAAATCACAGGGAACGGTGATGTTGAGCTTAGTAAGGTCAATGACCAAAGTTTTTTGGCCTCAATGAAAGCCCTTGTATGGAGGCAGAATTCCCAACAGCTTCAGATAAAGGGGGCCCCACCTGACCAGAGTAATGCTAGGAAAGGCTGGTTCCCTTTTAAATCACCCCGTTCAATTCCATGGCTCTTCAGTAGATCAAAACCAGAAAGAAATCAGGAAGGGGGCCTCTCTCAAAGCAGCACAGAACATGACGAAAGTTCACTTGACTCTCCATCTGTGATGGAATCAGATGGGAAGGTTGCTGCAGATGATCAACATGGTAATGATTCATTGATTGGGCATGACGAGGGGGGTGAGATACAAAACAACAATCCAAGGCATGCTCCTACAGTGCTAAAGGTACTAGCCCACTAGTAGACCATTCGCCAGAAAGTGCTAGTGGTTATCAAACAAACAATAATGTCAAGATTTCCCCCAATGCAGATAATCACACTGATACACGAGAAGAGGTTGCTAAGCGGGGTCACTTTAAAGCCATTATGTCCCTCTGTCTGCTCCAGGAAAATACTGATGAATAAGTGTGCTACTGATGAGAATACCTTTGTTGTTGCATTTATAACATGCATAACAAGCAACATGACTCCCTAGTGTTCAAATGTTTCCATGACACATGCTGTTACAAATCAACAACAGTTGATAAACTGTAGGTTGATCTGTGCATACAAAGCATCTGTCCCATAACCCATATATATTTTGTAACCTCTTCCAGCTAAAAAAGGGACCTTTTAATAAATATAGCTATGAAATCCTACTGTATACAAGTACATGTACATGTACTAGCAGCTCTGGTACATACAGCTGATGTCAGTGTTTTGCCTTTTTATTGTTTAATTGTACCCAACTGTGACTGCCATTTTTGTGGCTTTTGTATTTGTTATGTGTAGTTTCTAATACAAACTTTTAGCACCTTGGTGCTGCTATGTACTTGTGATTTCGAACAATTAATAAACAATTCAATATTACAATCAATATATCAGATCTATTCTAGCATAATGTTACAATCAAGTATACAGTTGTACACCTCTTTATGCATAGCGGCAGAGCTTGTAGTAATCTGTCAGTAGTGAAAATGAAAGTCTTTCACTTTTGCAAAGATATAAGGACTATCATTATAATCATATTAGTTATTGAAGTTATGAAAAGGCCCATGGCATATAGAATCATGTTATTATGTCTCAATGTCATCATGGTTGGGATGCTCATTTCTTGAGAGCAATTAATCATAGGAAAATCTGTATGTATCATTGGACTATTTTTCTCCTACATCCCTTTTATCTTTATATTATGATAAGACAGTAGAAAGAACAACGGAAAATCATCTTCACTTTAATATCATCCTGAAATTTACAATAATCATACTCAGCTATGTATACATGAATTAAACAATTATTACAATCTTTAAGCAGTCTGGAATTCAGTGAGCATAGTCATTATCCAAGAAGGTTAACCTCCTTGCATTATCTGACCAAAGCAGCAAGATTTAAAACATCACAAAATAATTTTCAAAAGCTCAGTTTGTTACGAGAAGTACTGGCCATTGATGATGTTGTTTACTTCAAATAATCCCCAGGAAGTATTCAGCTTGTTTTACAGGTGATTTTGTGACATTCTGTATGTCTTTCTAGTGGTCTGCTTTTCAAAGAGAAAATATGACCATGAAAATGCTTACAAGATGCTGCAAAAATGCATGTAAATCAACCCAAACCCTACATCTGCTTAAAGATTAGTTTTAAAATCTCCTACCTGTCAGTTCGTTGATTGTGTTTTCACCATAGCACCACAGCAAAGTTTAAAATGCTAAAATCCAAAAAGCTAATTTCAACTTTCAATGATTTCTATTCATTGACTAAAGCACTAAAGACATTTGTACTCTAACTCTAGATCTAATCTACATGCACTATAAAGCGTTACACTTCGGGAATTTACCAAAACAGTGCTGTCCAATTACAACTATGTTTTTCCATCCTAAGCACCAAAATTAACTAGTACTAGTTCTCCAACTCATTTTTCTCCCTCCAACAAAATTACTCTGAAAATGCTGCAGCGAAACATGTCAATTATTTGAGGTAGCTGAAGGATTCATTACCTAATGAGACAATGACCATAATACTGAAAAACGCTCTAATTTTGCAGAGCAGGATTTTCAGGTACACTGAGAAGTGAGAATACAGCAAGCAAACCGGCAGATCTATAAATCCGTAAAACACTTTTGCAAAGACTTTCTAACTAGTACCTGTGAGCACTATTGATAAAACTTTCAAAGTTGCCCGAAAGGTTCACAGATGTCTCTACCTCTACATTGAACAGATTTTATGAACTTTCTGTCGTGTTTTTTGTCACGTCTCTAAATGTGCTTTAAAATTTCAAAATTTCCTTTTTTCTTGTACAAAGAAAAAATCTTTAAAAGTTTTCCATTAGAGTTATCATCTTAAAGTCAACGACCCGTTGACAACATTAGTAAAACTACCCCCTCCCCCCCAAAATGGCCACACAAACATATCATAGATACATTAGATTGATTTTCATCTACCCCAGTAACCAGCAACCAAGAAATTGCTTCGTGTGTGGTGACAGAAACCTATTTGTAACTCATGTGCATGTGTATACCTTTATGATAGAGGTATGTCTGGCAAATTGGAATTGGCCATGGAATTTATCATTTGTGAAAGGATGTTGGCTTGTCCATGGTTGTAGACTTCATCACATTTGATATCAAACCTTACCATAATATTTCTGGCTGTAGGTCACCTTTTCTAGTAAATAGTTGGTACTTAAAATATCATAGCTTAATGCTTGATCCTAACCACTAAAAATTACTTTTGCTGCTATGGACATAAGAATAAGGTGCTCCATTGCACTGGACTCAGTTCCAAAAAAAATCATGATGTTCGTCCACAGCCGTGGAATTGAACTGCACTTGGAAGTGCTGAACTCCACAGCTGAATCCAATGCCTCCAGATGTACCTACATAAAACCAAGCTTACCCCATGTGGCCTATGTATTCTCTAAGGATAGTGACAATATTGCCTCTATAGAATCTTTTTCAAAATAGCATTTGGTACATCCATGGTGCTGTCTGACACTAGCACAATGTCATACGCTTCCTTGTATTTCTCTAACCTCTCCTCAATCTGAAACAACAAAAAGGTGGAAAATGTTAGTGACAAGAAATTTGCATGCTGAATATTTGTCATTTTCTGTCATACATCTTAAAACTGACAGGAAATTACTAGAAGACAAGGAAAACATTCATACTTCCCTCCAAAAAAGATTCTTCACATCACAGGTACAGAACAATCATTTTGATTGGCTCAAAGTTGGTTCAAAAGAAACAAGCCATGTGATAGGCTCTCAAGAATCATGTGACAGCTCTTGTGCCCAGAATACTATGACTACACTGGGTACAAGATTCTCCATTGCAGTAGCCCCACCTATGAATTTTATACAGAATTGCAATCACACTTCTGGTATTTTCCCCATTTTTAAGCCAAGGAAATTTAGTGGAAGGATTGAAGTAGCCCATATACAACAAATTTAGCCTGCATGGCTCCTCTTTTCTAAAGTATTTTGCAAAAAGAGAAGAAACACCAGCAAACTTACATTGTCATTGAGAAAGCCTATCTTGAGGATATGTTGCATGTTTGGCACCCCGTCAGCCATCCTGAGATCACCCATGGAGTCTCCCATCAGGATGATATTACGGCGATCCTTTAGTGTTGTAAAGTAGTCCGAATTCCGCAGGGCTCCCTCATTCTTGTTGTATGTGTGCACAAGGTCTCCCTTGAAACCCACCAACATACCCTATTGAAAAACAAGATTGGGTTTGGGACTTCTTTTCTTTCACAAACAGAACATGCATTTCTTCCCCACACAAAAACATACATGTCTTCCCCACACAAAAATATGCATGTACATGTCATAAAAACACAGACACATTGTCAATGACATGTATGTGTGAAACAAAATGTGAGATTTTGAGAGAAAGAAACCCACATCATGGTTGAAGTCCATGTAGTTGGACACCACCCTCATGTTGGCGTACATCTGGGAGTGCTGCTTGATGATCTCCTCCAGAATGTCTCCGATCCCTGCCGAGAAGATCAACATCGGAACCTTGTGCTCATGGAGAGTGCTGAACTGCCAGTCACAACCATCTCTGTGTGGGGAAAACAGATGAAAGAAAGGTCAGTGTCCTGTAGTCTAGTATTTATTGTTACTCCAAAGATTTTTAAAAAGAGACTCCGGGAAAGTGACTATAGTTTGCTTCTTTTTTCTGTTTTAGTTTCAAAGTTACACATGATGAATTAGTTACAAGTAATCTCACTGCACAAGAATTAAGTCAAATCTAGTCTTTTTCTCTAGCTTCAGAAAGGCAAACAATGTTGGGAAAAGGAAACATACAATATTTCTGTTCAACCCATCGTTAAAAATTTAGTTGTTGTTTCTTGCGGGAGAAAAGTTGTTTTGCTATTGGTTTATAGCATAATCTCTGATGGTTTACAAGAGGGTTTATATGAAATGATGTCAGGGGTCAGGCATGTAAGGTCATAGGTCAAATCCAGGGGCAGAACACTCAGTAACAAACCTCATGAGAGCATTTGACTCCTTAACTGCGAGGGATAGATCAGACTGCTTCAATCCGCACTCAACGAGAACTCCGGTTCCTTTTGTATACCTGATAACACAGCGTAAACTTCAACATCACAAACTGTTTTAACATAAACATTAGCATGCACACGTCAACTGCACTGTCTCTGAAGTGTAAATGTAGCCATCTGCTCAAACGGCGTATTGCTAACTTTCTTTGCTTTTTTTATCATTTCGTGAGTGGTATAAAATCTTTGGTACAATTTCTACCACGAGAGGCAGCAAGCAGTTGACAGGTGCATGTTATTCATTGTTTCTACTGTGATACAAACCTGAGCATAGCATTAGACTCCCTGACAGCTCTGGTGAGGTCTTCCCTCCGGAAGTTGCATGCAACAATAGTTGACTGAGCCTTTGTCCACCTAAGTGTGAATTTTTGAAACCTCAGCTCTTTCACATCACCAATACAAACTTAGGAAAAAAAGGTTAGACTTTTCAAATCCAGAAGACAAACATGTAAGCTTGGATCATTCATAAATGAACTGTCTTAGCTTTTTGAACAGAATTCATTAATTTTGTAGAAAGATAATGATTTACAACAAAATCTAAGCCAGACAGTATACAGTGCAAATATGCCTATGCGTAAAGCCACAATTTTGACTGGCAAACTGCGAATAATAAAATATGACATAAGAAGAAAACAGAAGATGGAATGGATATGAAATAAGATACTTGGAAATGTCCAGACTGTTTGATGCTAGCAAGCACATTATATCCCTGCATATAAACGACACATTACTACATGTAGTACCAAAGCTTACCATTCCATCATGAATGGGATCTTCTCCTCTATTGTCATCTTGGCATTGATCTCTATAGGGTAGTAGGTATCTCTCAATTCATCCAGCTGAAGGGCAAACAATGGTAATTGAGGATTAGGCAAATTGTACTTACCATGAAGGATAATCCCAATTATACCTCACACGAACTATTTGGGTATATCATTTACCTTATGCAGTATTTCCTATGCTTATCGCTAGGTGGCGCACGTGTACAAAGCTCTAATCGCAAAGCATCACGGGATATCATGACGTAATGACATTGTTCGCCGCCATTTGACGACGTGCGAGAAAGAGTCTGTGCTGTTCACCATGGGTGGGCATTTTCAGCTACTTGGGAGCTGAAGAACAGCAAGGGTGGGAAGATATACCCAAATAGTTCGTGTGAGGTATAATTGGGATTATCCTTCATGGTAAGTACAATTTGCCTAATCCTCAATTATACCTGCACACTCCCTATTTGGGTATATCATTTACCTTATGCAGACTTCAGAGCCGTGGACAGCACAGCCTGGTCAAACGTGTGTTGGTTGTTGTCCCTCCTGTAGTACTTCAGGAAGGTAGACTCTCGTGACCAGTCCGCTGCATTCATGATGCTATGTAGAGACACCCCAGC